CACTATAAATCAAGGTGTAAGAGTGATGTCTTACAGAGCTTTTTGTAACAGAGCTTTAAGTAACAGAGCTTTTTGTTGACTTAGGCTTGGTTAGTAAGCTGAAGATTTCCTGGTAAGTGTCATCTCACTGATTAAAGATCAACACGATCAACACATGAGTTGTTGAGGAGGTTTGAATTTTTTTGTGTTTAATATTTAAGAGAAAAATAGAATAATAAGTGTTTGCGTTATAATCAAAATGAAGTTAACGTGTTAGCAAAAACTAAAACCAGAAAACAGTTACTTTTTTATGTTTAACTGAGTCATTGTCGTTAGCAAAGAAAAACGATGGATGAAGTAAATGAAAAACGAATTACTGCTTATTTCCAAAAACAATATGAAAGGGATAAAATGTGCTGATAACCGGAATAATTCCGGTCACTGTTCAGGAAATAAACAGAAAGTAAGAATCAGTGAATGAAGTTTTGTCATGTGACAATGATATGTGAATTACGCATATTCATTTCAGCCAAAAAAAACAACAATCGACAACTCCTGCCACAATACATTTATTTGTATGTCATATTTCAACGAAAGTTACCGTGGAATAAGGTTGTGCAACTTTTTTTTCATCGACTGCTCTTTTTTTATACAACTTGAAATACCTTACCTCCTTCTTTTCACAGTTATTTATCAACGAGTAAGCATTCTTCCAACAATTAGTACACTTCTCTATATAGCACATCTAATAATCATTTTATCATTTATTGATTGAAAAATTAATTAAACCAATTTTATTCAGAGAAAGTGGTATTTCAAAGTTGTGAATATCAACAAGCCATACCAAACAGAGCATGAATACTAACATCTTAGCTACATAAAGAAAAGAAAATAACCAATAAAAACATAAAAATGAAAAAAAAGAAAAGAAAAAAAAATTATAATGGCTTCTGTAATTGTATATTTCCGAAGTTCTGATTGATGTTTTGTGCTTTGTCGCTCTTATCAGAGCAGATCTGTTCGTTATCAGTTACGAGTTGTGTAATCCTAGCTATCTTTCAAATCTTCATAGGTGGTAGTGATTCTACGACCTGAAATATCCTGTAAAAATGAATAAACAAGCCAGAAGCTGCTCGCTTTGATTAATTATGCGTCAGCCTTTTTGTTGATCCATTTGAAATTTCCTTTTTTTTGATACTCGTTGCTTCATATAAATCAGTACAATTCATTTTCTGGCCAAATCCGCGAGTACTGAGAAAGGACTAAAAAATTGACACTAAAGATTGAATCTCCGATCTTTTTTGCCATTATGAATGTTATTAGTTTCCAAGCAGTACTTTTTTCCGCATTTAAATTAATCAACTTTTCCGGGTCAGAAAGAATGTTTAGTTTATCTAACCCTTGACCTTTGATTCCTGCGTTAACGCATTAAGAATTACTAATTTAAATGCAAGTAAATAAGCAGGAATACGAAAGCCGAAACAAATGTAAAGTTGATTTGCTTCAGTGAGAGCAATAGATTTCAGGGATTTGAGAGACCGAAACAATTTGACGGATGCATGAACAAAAGGTGATTTAGTTTTCATTCAGTGAAAATTATTCAAAAGTCGTTGGTTCGATCCTCGAACAAATGTGATTCGTATTTCTGACGCATTAAACCGGTTCCTAGAATCTTGAAATCAGGCTTTTGTTTTCTGGAGAGTGACTTAAGCATATATTCTGCAACCGTTTGTGTGCGTTCATCCGCGCTCATTTAAGTCTCTCTTCTTGATGATGGCGCATATTTGATGCGAAGGAAGAAATAAGGAGATGGGAGAAAACGGTCTTTAAAAATTAACTTTTTTTTTCAAAACGAAAGTGCAACAAAGTAACAATTACGGTAAACTTGTTCTTTCGCTTTCACGTCATCGACCCTTTTCCTTCTAATTATGCTTTTTGATAATATCCAAAGTGTTGGAGTATCAGCATACCATTGGTAAAGGTTTTTATCTGGAAACCGTAAGAATAAGCAAAATTGCTTGTTGATAGGAATGGAGACAGAAAGAAAATTCCTGTGTTACATGTTCTACTGATTAAAATTCAACAAATTAGTGATTGTTGAAGAGGTTAAAACTTTCCGTGTGTTCCCTATTCTGATTGTCATTCAATTTAAAATGGATTTCTTACGTTTCAATCAATTTTAATTAAAAAAAAAGACATTTTGGGGTGATGAACATCAACGAATCGTATCAGTCAGTGGCAATATTTGACTGAATAAAGGAAATGGAAAAAATAACCGATTTATATGCCATTGGCATACAGTTCCAAAGCTTTATTCTGCTTTTAACACGTGCTGATCTATAGGTTTAGCCTTTTTGGGACGAGGTTTTAAGGAATTCTGAAAATGCGAATTTAAAATTATTATACTTCGAGAGAATCGTTACTTTTTTAACTCCTTAATCATCGTGACATTTAAATTATTCTACGAGTGATTGATATCGAAATTAGTCAATTATTACTATATTCATTTATTTTCCGCACCTCGTTTCGGCACCATGAATCACTGATTAGTATAGGTACTACAAATTATGACGTAGCCCTGGATGACTTAGATGACGTTGACTTGTGCTGCAGAGACTTTTGACATATTTTTAACATTGGTTCAAATCACAATCATATTTAATAGCTTGATATAGAACAGGACGACACACAACATAATTTTTAAAATTGGAAGCCCGCACAATGATACAAAGATATTTGGAGAAAATGAAACAATTATCCATAATAGCAGGATGGATAATAAGAACCAAATAGAGAAAAATATAAAAAGCCTCCACCAATGAATGACCTTAGCAATAAACTTACAATGATAGTTTCAAGCACGTTTAATCCCATGTACATTTAACAACGCCTTCAACGAAAGTTAACTCCTAAAAAGAACTTTAAGTGCTTGCAACTTTGCGGGAAAAAAAAAACTTGAGGGAATTGGTTAGGTCGATTTCTTCTTCAATCACCTCCACTAACACTGAATCTTCGTATTGCTTTACCATTGTTGTCCAATGTCTTAAATTTAAAATAAGCTTTTGCTGGAAAAGTTGGTGCTTAAATGAATATTAATGTTTAATGTGTCATGACAATCATTTGGTGATGATGAGTGACAATATAACAAACAATCCAAAATTCCTGCAAATATAATTGGCACTATCACATTAAGGCTTACGTCTTTGTTTTGTTCTAGCTGTTCTAAATATTTGTTGATATTGGAAGATGAATCTGCTCAATTGATGGTTCTGATGCTATGAGCGAATTTGAAGCGTTTGTTCCCGTCAAAATCACAATGACCGCAAGTTATAGATAGGATCAGTTGTTAAACGGAAAAGATATTTTGGTTCCGGACGACTGATGATAGTAAGGTTAGCCAATGCCAACCTTGCATTTATTAATTAGACGAAAATTGAAATCTTCCTGTAATTTGAAAGGTAATAGCAGGATGTTGAAATTTGCGGTAATTAGAACTATGATACATGCGGGATGGATTTTATTCATGGAACAAAATCATTTAAAGAGTTCATTTGTCGTGAAAACGAAGCCTCAAATAAATTCATTCACATTGTAAATTAATGCTAATGATACTATGAATCACCCTTAACATATCTACATTCCTTAGATTTATTTCCCGTTTCAATTCCCATTTTTTTCCTTTATGTCTAAGCACATGTCTTTGTTCAGAAATGTCTTTGTCAACAATTGCTTAAAATAACTAACTAAATACAAATCGGATCGTCTCTTTTTTGTATCCTTTGTTCGATGGGCATGTTTTATGTAATTTGGCTCTCAACAGTTTACGGTTTTTAAGATCACCGCCTCTCACTTCTTAACAAATATAATCTGGGTCCAAAATCCGGGGAAAGGCTTGAGCTGCTCTCCTCTTCAAAGGTTATCGGTTTCTTCTGTTTTATTCTTCGCTTCTACGGACGTTGGCGGATTTTTATCAATCTCTTCTCACGATAAAGGTTAATATTTCTTACTGTTGCGTATTCACAAAACAAATCGACCTCCGGACAAACGCTTTCGCACTAAGCGCTTCATTTGGAGAGATTTGATTGGAGTTTGATTACCCAACCACTGAATTCGGCAAATAAATTATCTGGCAGTCTTTACTATTTCACGACATCATTAGCAAGGAGAGGAAAAGGTGAAATACGAAACGATCGTGAGCCACACGATTTTATAAAACCGCGATAAAACGAATACGAAGGACACGAAGAAAGCTCTCGAGTCAGAAGGCCCAAGGCGAGGTGGTCCAGACGGCTTACCAAGCAACTGTAAACTTGCCCCAACTATTACTTACACTATTCAGTGGAGATTCTCGAAAGTGAAGGGAGTTTTGGAACAACTTCGAAACAGCAGCGTTGCAAAAAATTTGGCTTTCTTTTTCGTAGCTAACAAAGTTCGTCTTTTTTGCTTCTTTATTAAAAGAAAGATGTTATTAAAAGCTTTATTAAATGAAAGCTAGTTTTCTACGTTTAATTAAGATAAACTGTTTTGTTGAGAATGAATTATCAATGGATGGGTGAGGATTTGTTAATTTTTGTGATGTAGCTGAATACCAGGAATACAGATAGAAAATTAATGCGAATTGGGCACAATCGTTACTTCAATCCCAAAGAATAGATTAGGGATAAAATCTTATGTTTTAACGTATTACAATTTTCTTCGTTTTTTAGACATTAACAATTTCGTTTTCACGACAAGCAGTGCATTATCAAGATCTTCCAAACAAACAAAAATTGAGCTACTTACTTTACTACTTACTTTTCTACTTGAAAGGAGAAGCCTCAAAGGCAGTATGTGGATACGATGTCGCGCTAGAAAACTATAGTATTGTCGGGAGAAATTTGACAACACATCGACGATCAAGAATTCGCTATACAGCGAATTCCAAAATATCAGAAGAAATGATCGGGATTGGATAGAGGCAATCAAAGGAATTGAACGAATCCTCGAACAATAGAAGCTAAAGGAGTAAAACTGAACCACTCGAGTATGAAAACGACTACTGAAAGAAAATCACCTAGATGGATTTTAACGAAGGTGTACCAGCAAAAACAGGAAAATAAGTGTTGGTCAATCGGGAAATTGAGAAGTTGCCTGAGGAAAATAGCAAGAAGCGAGGAAAACATTACTTGAACTCAAACCTGAAACTACGGTTTCGAGATTCGAGAAGAAACCAGTGTATGCAAACATGAAATAATATGCAAACATGAAATAACAGTTCAGGGCGACAGTAAGAAGCGAAACCTTGCCTTAGCAGCAGCAAAGCGGTAAGGATCAAAAGACAATAACGTCCCAAAGAAACTGAGAAAAAGAATCCAAACTGAAACTAAGTCTTGTTCATTATATAACAAGAATCATTGGGATGACGAATGTCTAACCTATCCCATTGCAAAGTAATAAATTGAAAGTGATGGAAATCGATGATCAGAACGTGAATTCTAAAATGTAAAACAAGGAATATGACAAGCTGTTGAATCACCGAAATTAACGCTATATTTGAATAAAATTTCCACAATATTCTAATAGACAGGGTGATACAATGAACAGCGTAAGACATCGCAACATCTACACCACGGAGAATGATCAAATTAGCTCAACTGCAACTGCCAGTGTTTAACGGGAATCTTCGAAACTGGAAAGCATTCTGGAGCAGCTTTGAAGCAGCGGTACATAACCAGAATCTTCCAGAGACCCAGAAGCTCAATTACTTTATTTCATGCTTAAAAGATAGAGCATTACAAGCAGTTAATGGACACGAAAGTGTGCCAGAGAATTACAATCTTATTCGAGAGATACTGATAGAGAAATACGGTGATACGTGTTCTACCACAAGTTTGTTTTACAACGATCTTTTCTATCAGAAAAAATGATCGTGAATGTAAAACAACAATCGAAAATATAGAGAGATTACTCAGGCAACTGCAGTTGGGGGAAAATCCAGAACAAACAAGTTTACAAGTAATTATTGAAAGAGACTTACCAAAGCATCAAGACCAAAGATTGAAAGGTAAGTTTTAGTCAGTAAGCAGACTGAAACAGTTCCTGAAAGTTGGCAAAATTGGGGAAAGTTGTAACTCAAAATCAAACTTCTGTGGGAAAAATTGAAATAAAAGCTTTTGATTTGTCAGGTTTGATTTGGAAGCACACCTCCGGTGTGCTACTCTGCAATCTTTTAGCCATGAACTTACTGCCACTTTTCAGTTTAAACTTATGAAATGATATTAACCATAACGTGGCTCAGTTATGGTAATGACCTCTAGTCAAATTTAGAATTTAAAAATATGAATGTTTCATATTTTTAAATTAAACCAAGTAAACTATTTGTGGACAAGATTAATAACTAGGCTGAGTAATCTGGTATAGATATGACGTGATATCCACATTGATCTCGAAATATTCCTGTAATTCTTTCCCAATGGAATTATGGAATTCAGAAAAGAGATATTACTGCATTAAAACCAAGTTGAGATGCCCCGTTGTATTTTTCCTCCCTTTAAACTTTGCTATTTCCTGATTGTGCCAGTTCAATTTATCCATTCAATTATCCTATATGAACTGATGTAATGAAAAGACGAAATTTCTAAAAAAAGCGAAATGTTTTGGCCTGAATTCAAACAAAAACTGAAACATGTTTTGTTACTTTCTTTTTAGGTATTCGAAGGTAATCTTTGGTATATGAAAGCTAGGTGACAGCAAAATCATCATGAAAATCATTACCACCGTTTCATATAATTTAATCATTCCAAATTTTCAACAGTATGAAGTATCTTGTTTTCATTTTAGGGAATGGTATCATTTTAACGACTGGTAAAATCAGACAGATATTTTCAAAAATTTTTTTATTCCAAATTTGGATAAAATTAATAAATATTAGAAATGTCACGACATTTTCTTCACGGATCAATTATCAATTATTCAATACATATTGATTGACTGAGTAGAGCTAATATGGATCATTTTAAGGATATAAATTGACTTATAAATTTCCATTTCATTTATACATTATAGGAACGAGAACTACTATCCAAACAGTTACTGTAACATCCTTCAGACACTTGAAGAGCTTCAGATTCCTCCAGGTACGTCCCTCCATTTGTGCAATGGAATAATTTTGAAACTATCTGTCAAATTATGCCCTTAATGTATTGGTCAAGCAAGAAATATATGTTCTTGATTAGCCCAATAACTTCGTAAATATTATCAATGTTGTATTGTTTCAAAAAGTTGGTTACGTTTATTATTAACTAGGGAAAAGACATAAAAAAGCACGGTAACAGAAATATGTTGTTCTTATTTTTGTATTTTCAGACTTTATCTTCCTTCCAACGACCCATTTTTTAGCTTATTAATTAAGCCATTCATTAAATCAATTTTAATTGACGGAAAAGGCACTTTGAAATGATAAACATCAACAAATCATATCAGTTAACAGCAACACTTGACTGTATAAAGGAAATAAAAAACAAGAACCGATCTGTATATCATTCGCATATTGTTCCAAAGATTTATTCTATTTTTAACACGTACTGTCCTGCACGTTTAGCCTTTTTGGTAAAAAGTTTTAAGGAATTTTGAAGATGCGAGTTTAGAATTATTATACTTCAAGAAACTTGTTGTTATTTAATTCCCTATTCAGTACATCATTTCAATAATTCAACGAGTAATTGGTATCGAAATTAGTTAATCACTACTCTATTCATTTATTCCTTTCAATCCATGAGTTATCGATCACTATAGGTACTACAAATTATGACAAAGCCGTGGATGACTTTGATGACGATGCCCGCATAGACTTTCAATATATTTTTAGCATTGATTCAATTCACAATCTATTTATTAGTTTGACATAGAATAGAATGTTGAACAAAGTTTTGCATAATTTTTAAAATTTGAAGTTTGCATAATAATACAAAGACATTTGGAAAAAATGGGACAATTATCCATAATAATAATAGTAATAGGGAAAGTAACCGTAGGAATAAGGAGAGTAACCAAAGTATGGATAATAATAACCATATGAAGGATAATATGGGGAGCCTCTACCATACACTGACCCCAGAAGGAAACCCGCAAGAGCAGTTTGAAGTGCATTTAACCCCTGGTTAGAGGGAGTTTGAGGAGGTTGACTAGGTTGACTTGTGCGTCGATCACTTCCATCAAAAGTGACTGTCCGTATTGTGTTACCTCTGCCGGCCACTAACTTAAATTTATAATTAATTCTTATTGAAAAAAATGCGTTCATCAAAAGCGGGTAAAATGCACTGAAAGTTGATGCTTAAATGAACATTAATGCCTAATATATTAATATAATATGTTTAAGATTTGTTTGAAACAAATAAGAGGTATGAAACTTACCTGCTCACCTACGCCCATCCTATTAACGAATGAAACAGGATTAAAAGCCACCGCCTGTGCATTCGTTTCAATTGATAATACTGCACTGAAAATGAAAGAATACATTAACAGGCATGTGAACAGAATAATGATATGATAACAACAAGCAATTTAACTTACATTATCATTAAAGCAATCAAATATTTGGTGATAACGAGTGACAGCATAATAAACAATCCAAAATTCCTGCAAATACGATTGGCAGTGTACAATTACATTAAGGCTTACGTCTTCGTTTCGTTCTAGTTGATGGAAGTATTTGTTGATATCTGCCCAGCTGATGGTCCAGATGGCATTTATTCCTGCCACGGTTACAAATGATTACAGGTTATCAGACCAGTTATTAAACGGGAAAGATATTTAGTTTCCAAAAGAGAATGACCATTGCCAACTTTGCTATTATGGATTTAAGAAGTTGATTAAAGAGGAGAGGAAAAGGTGAAATAGACGATCGTGAGTGATACTACTTTACAAATCATTTATAACTTTGCGAGGAGACCTAACTCATCTTTATGACAGATTAAGTAA